ATATCAACTATGGACTCGTCCTCGGTGACAGACCCCTCTCCAGGCGTGTCTCCCGAATCGCCCCTCGCAAAGACTATCACGCCCTCGTCTTTCGTTGCCGACTTCAGGTCAAGACGAGCAGAAGCACCTGTCGGGGAACCGTCTGCCGGCCCATTTTTCGAATTGCAGCGTCCCACAACACCTGCAAAGAAGCCTCGGAATCTCAAGAACCTTGGTATCAACACAGCGTCTTCGCTCAGCAACTTGCGCGCGCACACCCCAGCTCCCATAGCAGTTGCTCCCAAAGAGAAGAACAGCTCGGCACCGCCATCTCCGTTGTTTATCAAACCACCGACACCCCCGAAGCGTCGACCGTCCAATTTGAGCTTAACAATTTCAACGCCTGGCAGCAACGAGAGTAAGCCAGTACGATTGCTCATACCCTCAACACCGTCCTTCAATCGCCCACCGCTTCGCCACTTCCAGTCATCTCCTTCGCTACCATTATGTTCACCGAGTACGAACCCAATGGGTGGTATGCAATTGCCTCCTCTACGACCTGTTGCACCTAAGCAAAGTGGCCTCAGCGAAGTCCCCTTTGAAATGGAGGAGGAGGAGGACCAGGAACCCAACTTCGATGTTCCCCAGTCGCGAGAGGAGAAGCCGGCTGCCTATCCCAACGGCCCCATCTGTATCTATGAGTCTGGCGTGTTCCTCTACTTTGAGCCAACTGCTATCCAGGCCACGACTTTTGATGTCATTATCAACGTCGCGAGCGAAGTGAAGAACCCATTCACTACGCCAACGGTGGAGTCACAAAAAGATATTGATGCCAGGCGCATAGATGGCCCACCAGCGGAGAATGTTGATTTTGCCACCCTTGGACAGCGACCAAAGCAATCATTCGGTATGGACGATGGCTCGCCAACCACACCCAAAGCCACGCCGGTCATGCAAACCATACAGCCGCGCGAGGTTGTGATCGAGGGCAAGACATACAAGACACCAGAGTACATCCACATGCCCTGGGAGCACAACACAGACATCGTTCCCGACCTTCACAAGCTGGTCAGGATGATAGACGAGAGGGTTCAGCGTGGGAAGCGCGTACTCATCCATTGCCAATGTGGTGTCAGTCGTTCTGCCAGTTTGATCGTTGCCTACGGCCTGTACAAGGACCCGCAGATGAGTGTGCAAGAAGCGTACGACAAGGCGAAGAAGCGAAGCAAGTGGATCGGACCGAACATGAACCTCATCATGCAATTGCAAGAGTTCCGCAACAGCTTGTTAAGACAAAACGAAAGCCGTTCATATCACAACCAAGGGTATGGACGACGATCTGCTGGTCTTCCTTCCACCCGCTCCACAGGAAACAACAAGTACTCTTCGTACGATAGAGACTCTGGTTCGGGATCGCGCACTCCACGAACAGCGCCGCTACCACCCGACAGCGACATTAGCATGCAACGGGCAAGCACAGGCAACATGATGGCTATATCTCCAGGTCCCCTATCGGCACCCACTGGAGCCTTCTCAGCCGGTTTCCGTCGGTCCTGGGACTCGAGCCCTGCGCACTTTGATGTCCCATCCGAGCCCTCCCCGACGACAACGACGCCCTATGTCGATCCCACAGGTCACGTTGTGCCTGTAGTCTCCGTCACTAACGAGAACGTGCCGACCATTCAGACTCAAGATGTTTCTGACAGCGAAGACCATTCTGAGCCTACTCTCAGGCTTTCCTCTGTCCCCAACTTCTCACGTCAACTTCCATTACGATTGGGCCTGAGCAACGATGAGGGCTCATCATTCGGATCAGGAGAGAGACACCTGGCGCCTCTACAGCCATCAGGATTTGAGCCACTTCGATCCCCAGCTGTAGCAAGTTTCAACATCCCTTCCTTCAGCTCCTACGACGCATCCGATGCTGAGGTCATGTCGCCAATCAAGACTTCTTTTGACAACCCATGGCCGGCAGGCTACGATCTGGATAACGAACCTTCCGCGCCTGAGATTACTTCGCCAGTGGCTACACAATTTCCGAAGGATGTCTTTGGTCGCACAGACGCAAGCCTAGAAGATGACCTAAAGTCGCCACGTGCCACGGAATTCCACATGACTCCACTAAAGCCAAGGGTAGCAGATGAGGATCCATTCGGCTTGACATCGCCAACAAGAGCAGACTTCAATCCGTTCGACAGGCCCAGCATAGCCGCTATCAAGGACTCTGAAGCTGAGGATCGACGGCCGTCATTCCAAGCCATCCTACCGCCTGCCCATCAGACTTTCAACGGCTTTGCATCGCTGGACGGTACGGCGCAAACGAACCCCATGTTCCAGGCCCCCAGCTTGCTGTCCATGTCCTTCCCAAAACATAGCCAAGACGCCGGACCACGCATCGACAGCCTTAGCAATTCACCCGAAAAACAAGCCTTGACCCCTATCGACCCGGCTGAACCTGTTCCTGTAGCGTTCCCCAAGGCACCGGATACGCCCCGATCGCCTAGTCAAACCTTCCTTTCAACTCCCGCCAAGGCCATTCGCACTAGGTTCTCATCACCGAACATGCGCGAACAACGAAAGTTGCACAAGCTACAAACGGAGATTCAGTCAAAGCTGCCGAAACCTTCTGCTCCTCAACATGCTGCTGATGACATCGACGCTCTCATGTCACCGCGTGCTGAGGAGTTCACAAGGAACCCCTTCCATTTCGAACTCCAGTCTTCTGGCGACGACACGAGTCCGGTATCTTCCAACGAGACGATCAAGGACGGACGAAACGGCCATACCGCATGGGAAGAACCACTACCCCGGCAATGGACGCCTGAAAAGGCAACCGTTGACCCCCGGAGTCCTGTCCAAACCGGCAGTAACCCCATTGTTCGCAACATCTGGGACGTACTGTGAGCAAAGGCACAAACAGACCGAAACGCAAACTCAAAATATGCGGAGTGGACTTGCTCAATCTAGAAGCTTCCGGAGAAGACGCCGCGCGCACAAGATTTGGTAGCTTCGGCCGCCTTGTCGGAAATTACGCGACCTCTCTCCGAAGGATCGTCCTTCGCCAACAGGAGCTCGCGACGCCACCAACACTGAGCGTTTGGACTCCTGACAGCTGCATGTCACATTGGCCCACTTTGCAGAGTCGACGTTGGATGTGCAGCATCTCCGTTACCGTTGGCAGCCGATGCATTCCAACGGTCCGGCAGTCTCCATCTCGTATTCCCTTGTCATCAGTCATTTCCTTTGTGATCAAATCTTTCGTTTCTTTGCAAGTCCGTACAGCACGGCTTTACATATTCGCACGTTGGGGGCTAATGCGCGTTGAATTACGCAGAGTAATGTTCTAGTTTCTAGTACCCTAGTACCGCCATCCCCTCGACATACTCACACTCCTTACAAACAACTTTCCCTCTCGACAAAACCATTACTACATTCGCTGCCCCTTTGTATATCTATCTCATCTCCTTACTTTACACACTCAGTATCGATGTTACGAGCCATGCAAAGCGACTGTCTTCTGGCAGAAAGCACCCACTTGCGATCTTGGGTTGCGTCCTTGGTTTTGTGTTTTGATTTTTCTATTTTCTGGTTCGCTTGGCGAGTTCAGCCAGCGAAAGGCGTTTGTGGGAGAGAGAGAGAGAGAAGGATCTCGACAGATGGATTGATCATATCCTTGGGCTTTTCCTTATTTTTCCTTTTCCCTCTCTGGATTCATCTAAGGGTTTCTGGTGGAAAAGGCTATGTAAATGAATGGAACACATATTTCAACAATGGGTCGTCCACATGCATATATGTGTTAATTGCGTATCTGACTCTTCGTTGGCGATACGGCCTCTCACCATTCTAGGTAAACTTCCTGATCAAGCGTACCCCCACGAGCAAATGAACTGGCATGACAAGTCTAACCGAACACCGTTTTGTTGCTGACTAAACATGTGACAGCTGAAGTAGCATCTCTCGTCTGACTAATGAAGACACCCGCTTACTTGGTTCCTTACACACACCAAAGGCTTACATACATCTCACCTGCATGGCTTCTACATTATATGGTGGTACAAATGTAGATCCAACCTATCTCTGCAAGATAAGGGTTGTGCAGATCGCCGTTCTTGGTCGTGGAGGGATAAAAGGAAGGGTTGAACTGGTAACACGAACAGTGAGTGGGGGCTGGGCTAAAGGTAGTTGCGGTGTGAGATGGGGCAGCTCGCGCCATTGAGATCGTGGTTTTGTGGAACACAGTGAGGAAATTACAGTGAAGTCGTCGTATTTGCTCGTACTAGTAGCTGCGAGGTCAGATGATCGTAGACACATTTCCGTGGTGGAACAGAAAACATATGCTGGAAGAAAGTCTTGGATCAGGTTGAAAATCCATTCAGGTTACTACTTTAAACTATATACTATGTGTGATGCGTATGTGTATGCCCCAAAAGAGACCTCCACGTCTACAGAAAACAGAAACCATGCCAATCAGGCTCATCATCTCATGTCCATCTCATGTCCATCTCATCTCATCTCATCTCGTACCAAGCGAGCGTAGTATACGTATCCCAAAGACCAATAAGTCCAAAAAGCGAATGTGTCCAGGTCTAGCCCGGCGCAGTGTGTGTCAATACAATACAACGAAAGTGATCTACAAGACGTACATACACGTCTTGCTCGATGAGTAGTTGGAGCAATAGAAAAGCGATTGGAAAAGCTGCATCGAAATGTATTTCAATTTCGATGTGTATATGCAATTGTACAGAGATGGTTGAGTGTGAGACTTGACAAACAAGACGAGGAGACGGAGAAACGCCAAACGCAGCACTTGCGTGTAGTTGGTCGTAGAACTGAACATCAAGGAGATGGGAGATAGTAATGGGAAAAACCGTTCAACGCCTGTGAAATCGCAAATATGATCCCGGTGTTTCGTCCGATAGCATCCGGGAGTTGGGTATCCTGTGGGCAATTTGATGCCTGTGTCGATATGTTTGTATGTGTGTGTGCGTTTCGCCTTTCCAATTCAAAGTATAACGGAACTACTAGTAAGCATACGTAGCAGTTCTGCTGAGACCAGGTTTACTGGCAAAGCCTCTGTCAACCCTGTCGGGTTCACCAGATCTCGGTGCCCATCTGACGTCCTCGGGACCGTATCTACGGCTGTATTGGATTTCGTTGGGGTCGATGCTTGCCTGGCGTACCCGGTGTCGGGGTTCGCTACCAATTTCACCGTAGAGCCTTCCTGAGCGGCCGCGTTCTTCGCGAACAGGCGAGATGTTGCGACTTGACTCCGTGCGGCTTGGCATTGATGGCCGGGGCACGGTCTTGTATGATGCAGTGGTGGGCTCTGCCGGACGGTTGGGACCAATCGGGGGCTTGCCGATGGGCGACTTTGAACGGTGTTGGCGTTGGGATTGGGGTTCGCGAACAACGTGGCGAGGAGTGGGGGTTGGCGGGTCTTGGGACACGCCAGCTCCAGGAACGGGGTAGTAATATGTCTTGACGGTCGACGATGGTGGTACGCTGGGGAAGGCGTCTCTCTCGGGACTGGCGTACTTCTCAGGGCTGCTGTATTGCTCTGGAGTCATGGCCTCGCGAAGACCAGACGGGCGAGGAGCGGTAGCGTCCTTCCTGCGCGAGGAGGTGTTTGGAATGGTAGGCATGGTCGACGATCGACTCAGCGAAGGTGCTGGAGGCGTGTTCTCGGCATATCTGGTGGACCTGCTCTCGGTGTACGAGCGCTGAGGCACTCCACGTGAGAGCTCAGCAGGTGATGAGGTCGTATGCTTGAAGCTGGGTACGCGTCTCTCCTCACGGCGAGGCTCATCATCCCACTCGACAACCTCGGGAATACCGCGGTCGGTACGGTCTGTGTCACGACGGGACAGAGAAGGTCTTTCCTTACTGGGGCGAGCAGATGACCTGCGGACGGGCTCGGGTCGAGCACTGTCGCGTCGAACCATCCGAGGTGGGTCGGAGGTGTAGTAATCGCGCGAAGAAGCCCTGGCGGGCGACGGTCGGGAAGATAGGATATCCGCCTCGACGTGGGCGCGTGACTTGTGCTGGTATCGGAGCGCCTCTTCTTCCTGAACGCTCATCTTGCGTGCAGCAGGGACAGTGTGAGTGGTGGTGCCGGCATATCGGTTGTCTTCATAGGTGCGGCGCTCTTCTGCCTTGCGCCGAGCATCCTCTTCAGTGCGAGCCTTGAAGGCTGCCTCGTAGCGCGCCTTCTCGTCACCCGATGACTCACTGTCGACTTGGGTGAACTTGCGGTCGCTTCGGGTCTCCTTGGCACGCGTTTTCTCGCGATCTGAGCGTGATCTGTCTTCTTTGACGTGTCGCGAGCTCTTGGACTCCTTCTCGCGAGTGGATCTCGAGGATGATGTGGGTTTTGAGGGCTGGGTGTGGTATCGTGCGTGGTAACGGTCGTCTTCCTCGCGTGCTGTGGGTGCGCGGTACTCGGTGGTGTATCGCGAAGGGCCGTTTGCGGCAAAGGATGCACCGCCTGATGTGGGGACATCGAAGCGTGCAGTCCTGTCGCGTGGCGCAGCTCCTCGCGCCGCCTTCTCCTTGCGCAGCTTGTCGAGCGTGATCTGCGCGTCGTACTTGCTCCTCTTCTCGTCGTCAATGAGGCACTCGTAGGCCTGCTGGATGTTGTGAAACTCCTCCTGTTTCTGCTCCTTCAGCGCGGGGTCCGTGACCTTGTCGGGATGGCACTTGAGGACGAGTTTGCGGTAGGTGGCCTTGATGACGGCGGCGTCGACCGTATTGGCGACGCCCAGGGCCTTGTAGTGATCGGGGAGGGGGTCGTCCATGGCGGCAATGGGTGTGGGGATAGGATTGCTAGGCGGGTGTGGGGTGTGGGATCTCTCTTATAGTGTGACAGCAACGACTGCTTGCGACTCAGGCCTGACACATGCGGATCCGGGCAATGCAGCGAGTGGAGGAGCAAGCGAGCCTGTGGCGGTGTTGGGCGGATGTCTGGCAGGCCGCAGCAAAAGCAAGGGCAGGAGCGATGGGCTTTGGGCGAGGCGTCGGTGTGGGAGCCCTATAAGGGGAGTCGGGTGCAGTATGTGCCGTGGTGAGAGCAGAGCGGACGGAGCGTGCGGGTGTTCCTGCACGGCCTGACGAGGATGGCTTGCTTGAAATCGGCTGACCTAAGGAATAGTGGGTCGCTCAGGGACACAGACAGCGCGGATCGAAGATGGCGGAAACGTGGCGAAGAGACAAAAAAACTCGGATCAAAGACGCTGGACAAAGGAATTGTAGTGCTCGGCCGGCGGTCAGGCACAAGAGTGAGGCTGTGTTGTGCTCGCGACTGCGCTGCTCGTTGCCCGGCAGCGATGGCTCTGCTTGCAGGCCGTAAGTTGCGGTGTGGATGGCTTTGCGACGTCACCGTCAACCGTGCCAAAAAATGCCAATAGGATCCGGCGGGCGGTAGTCGGGATCGCACCGCGTAGTGTGGAATTTAAGAATCGTGGGAGAAGAATAAGATTGCGGCTTCGAAGAATAGAACAATGTGTGCAACGGGTAATATGGATTTGGAGAGCAGTCAGCCTGCACGCTTTGGGGGTGCAGTTGTGACTATATCAGGCTCTCATGCACAGAGCCCCAGGGCTTCGACAGCCGTCGAGGGCATCCCTGTGCCTCGCACTTGTCTGCTTTGTACCAAACTCGTCGCCGGCTGAAAAGAGCGTCACAGCCTCGACTCGACGCTGACTAGTCCCCGCTCCACGCCCATCGCATCGCATCGCGCAAGCCGCTGCTTCACATGAGCACCGCTGCACGTCTCGTCGTCGGCCACGGCGGCTGCAAAACACTCAGTCCAATCACGCCCAGCGCCCTCCACATGGCCCGTTTCGAGACTGGCGCCAAAACCGCGCCTGATAGGACCAACCCCCAGCATGGCCTGCATGACCACCGAAGCCCCAAGAAGCCATGCCAGAAGCGTGGAAGCACGATGTGACCACACCTGCTGTCCAATCGTGAAATGCTCACCAACCCCACCATGAACATTTGCAAGACATGACGAATCCAGCTGCACCCCAAGGGTACAGGTGAAGCACAAAGCCAGCACCGACAGCCAACTCGTCACATTCGAGATCCACCCAGGCAATCCATCCTCTGCAGCGTCCGAGACACATGTGTTCCCCAGCTCAGACGGTAGCAGTCACCGGGCCTTCGGCACCCATCAATGCACATCCTCCGCACATCACTCGAGGCACGATGAGGGGCATCCCTGTGGCCCGTCGCAACTCAGGTCAGGGCACGGCGGTTGCGTCGCCCGTCAGGCAATATTTTGCTCTCCGTCCCAAGCCATGTGAGAGAGGATAGATTTGCTGCCACTCGATCCGTCCCGATGGCAGACGTTAGCCCGTGGCTTGATAGGACGATAAGATACGCTTATGCGGGGGTAAGGCGGGGCACTTCTGCATGTAACGCCCAATCGTGACATGGTCAGCTCACGAAGCCCACGAAGCACGTCCTCCTACGTGGTCCTCGTCCATTGCACGCACCGCACTGAGTAGGACACGAATGTGCTATAAACCAGCAGCAGTATGATGTAGGTGTTGGCTCGACAAGTGTGCTTTGCTGGCTAGGAATGAGATCATTTGGGACAGGTACGCTGCAGTTGATCCGTCATCCCACATTAGCTAGCATTATCGTGGTCCCAAAGAGCCCCATACAGGCAGCTCCATATCGACGACTATCGGCTTGTTGTAGGCAACCGACGTTCTGCCAGCGACCCTCGGACCCAGATACGCTGCGTTGATCACCGTGGTCTGGCTGCGTTCTTCCGTCCCTGGTGGAGGCATACCCCTCTGTCGTTCTGCGAGACGCTGAGTAGCCTCGTCAGGACACCCATGTCCGGTATCGCTCTCATCTGGATGCTCATCTGCATCGCCCCCTCGCCGTCCTCCTCCACTAATCCCTCCCCACAGCGCCTCACTGTCCCGCAGGGCAACATCAGTGAGGCTCGCTGGTGCCGTCGGGATAAGCTTCTCACCACCACCGGACGGGGGCTGACGCCCTGTCTGATCCGGTGCAGACATCGCATCAGGCTGGCCTTCCAGACGGTCCCCTCGCGAGTCAGGCTGCAATTGACGTGTCAAGCTCGCATGGTGGTCGCAGCCCGAACCACGCCCTCTTCTCACCTGCATGCCCGTCGTCAAATCAACTAGAGAAAGTTTCTTGTTGGAGGCTCCTGGGTCGTTCCAGAACTGCACGCTTGGTACTAGGGTACCGATATCCATGGGCGTGGGTTGGTGATGTAGTAATGCATGTCTTTCTCTCCATTGTATCGTCTCCACGCCTCGTCCGTTGTGTATGTGGCCGCAGATGTTCAAGATCGGCCTGACTTGCTCTAATCTTCTTAACAACGCTGGGCATCCTTCCCTTATTCTGTCTTTATGTCCGCTTGTTGCTGCTACTACTCCATCGCATCGCCCCTTGGGCGGTGTATGCGTAACTACGATATCCACTTCATTTGGAATATTTTTCCACACTTCTTCTGCTTCGCTGGGTTTGTACTGAAAAGCCCAACTCGCAAGTTGCTGTTTGGGCGTACACGGACTCCCAAAGATGGTAAAGCACGTTCCCCGTTCTTTCAATCGTATCTCCGTATAGTCATTTTCAAGGTAGACGATGGACTTGGATTCCGTCAACAGTCTTCTACACGCTTCTGTGTCTTGAGGCGCAGGCCATTTCCACGACTCTTCGTTTTCTCGAAAGAACGGAGGATCGAGCGTAATGTCGTGATTCCCTGTCCCATCTCATCAGCACTTCTCTTCTCCATTATATCTGTCCCTCTTGAACAAGACCAAGGGCATTCAGTACCAGCAACCACAATCTTCGCCTCAAACTCCTGCCGCTCAAGCCACTCCACCGTCCTCTTCAACTCCGCATAACTCCCCTGATTCGTCAAGTCACCCGCGTGGATCAACACATCGCCAGCCGGCAACTTCGGCGTCTGATTATGCGTATCCGATATACAGACTATACGCGTTTTGCGCCGTGCCGACATACGTGGGTAGGTTCATGCACACACATGTGCTAGTTAGCAGTAGCAGCAGTAGTAGTGATCGTGGTAGGTAGTGAGTTATCGTGTGATCGATCAGGTACACGCCAACCAAACAGCAAAACAATGCCCAACTCCCACGATCCAAGCTAACCCCAGCACACCCACCCAAAAACTTTCCTGTCATCATGCACCTGCAAAAGTGCCGTGGGAAAGAAGGTTTTGTGGAGTTAGTCCAGCAATCGCTATCACGCGGTTACGTCATTCCCCATCATTTCACATTCGAGGGCCTGGCCTCGCCTCGCCCATTTCCCAAACTCTCCGTAACCGCGTACCGCGTACCGCGTACCGCAAAGGACAGCACAGCATTTGCTTTTTCTCATTATTCGCCGGTTGGTGATCAACAAATGCCCCGGCCCTCTAGGGTCCTTAGTTCCCTCTAGTGATGCGACAGAAGATAGACAGGTACATCCGCAGCACGACATCGCCTCCAACCCCGGTTTTCCTCCCATATCGCCGCACCTCGGCTCGCTTGACTGCGGCGGTGTTGTGCATTTTTGCCACCGCCACCACCCGTTTTCGCGCAACCGATCTTGCGATGGCGAGTTCAGCCGCAATTTCTGGATCTGCGGTGGTTGAGAGATGATGCATGTGGGAAGTGGTTGGGCGGAAAGAAAAACAGGTTGTTGGGGGATGTTGGTAATGCCGATGCTGGATTGCGATGGCGATGCGCGGGGGGATTAAGCTAGTACTGAAATGACGTGCCACGTGATCGATAATTTGGGTAGGTTTGATGGGTGATGGGAGGCAGGTGCGATGTCGAGTCTAGTAATCTCATTCAGGAGTATCACAATATTGCAGAATGAACGTTTTGCTCAGGCTTTTCAGCCTTTTGTTTTTTTGTTATTTTTGGAGTACATTTTTATCGCGAAACAAGACTGCAAAAAGCAGAAAGCAAAAACTCCTTCGCTACAAATGAAGGGGTATCTTGACAATGACAAGCCCATTTAACGCCTTCATCACAAGAAAATCAAGCCCATATTGACTCCCCGCCTCACTATGCCTAGGCGTCCCTTTCCTTCCCATGAACAGGGTAGTCGTCAACCTAGATTTGGCCGTCGAGGACGACCTCTGCGGTCTCCTCGTCGTCCTCATCCAGGTTCATGTCATCGTCTGACACCACCCAGGTAGAATCGGAGTCCTCACCCAGGTCGACGACTGATGTATCACCACCCGCGGACGCAACGTTGCTGTCCAGGCTATCCCTCCTGTTGCCATGGACAGCGTAGTTGGCATCGTCGTCCTCTAGGGTGATCGGGGAATGGTAGCTGTTGCCGCTGGTGGCATTTCGTCCGGAGTGAATTGACCTGGAAGACCTGCGCGGAACCTCGAATGCGACGACTGGACCGTCATCTAGGACGGCATCTGTGCCCTGGATCTGCGCGCAGTCCCATTCATCCACGTATCTCGAAGACAATTCCTTGTGTGCCCAGCGGGCGATTCTGCGCTGAATCTCATAGCGAACCTCCTGAGAATGGAAGTCTTCCCCGAAGGATTCGGGAAACCCACAGGGAAGTTTGAGGTCGCAGTGGTGCTCTCGCCCTTCCAGTTGACAACGCTTGATTGCAAGGATCAACAAGTGACTCATTTTGTATACAAATGGTCCACATGCACCTCCATCATCTTTGAACCTGTTGTTTTCGTTTTGATCGGGACTGTTGAATTGTTCGAGGTACCTCCAATCCTCTGGGTTCTCATCAAGAATATGGAGCATGCCCATAGACATATCCCGGCCTAAGTCTTGATAGTATTTCAGTTTGACGAAAAGCGAATCGAAGTAATAGCATGTCTTGGAAACCCGATCCAGAACAGCGAGAGACCAGTGTAATCCACCGTAGCCATTGTTTTCGACGCCGCCGATGCCATCGTTGATGACGATGAAGACCCAATTCTTGTCGGCGTAACGTGACCTGTACTGTTCGTATTCCGCAGTATATCCTGACATTTGGGCAAAGTAGCAAATCTGGGCCACAGTAGAGTTGGCGATACCGATTTTGTGAGCGTCGCAGTCGTAATCGTGGCGAAGCACTTCAAGAGCCATGTCTAGACTCTCGTCGCGCATCCATACTTCCTGACCATAGATCCGAGCGTTGGTAGCGCCAATATAATTAAAGGAGTCGTTATGAAGGGTCACATCTCCCAGCGTAAGGAACACTCCTTCGTTGTGGGGAGGCTCCAGGTGATCAGAAAAGGCCGGGGCGAAAGCAGTGTACCGCGCAGGATGAGGAAGTTGCACCCAATGTGCAAGAGCGGGTAGAGGATCCACTTCCTTGGATGATAGCTCAGGGATGTCATATGTCTGTGTAACGTGAGTGAAGTGCTCACTAAAGTAAGGCTTCTGGTAATGTTTTACCTGACATATCGCAGCTTCCCAGCGATCAGTTTGTTGCTCCCATCCGGTAGTAGTATTGACTTCCACACTGTAACGGCGCTTCAGCAGAGGGGGCCTTGTCTGCTTTGTGGGCAAATGGTCACGTTCAAACCCGCGCGAGGAGAGCACCAAGATCCCGTGCCCCTGATAACTCATCGATTCACGTGTCTTCGAGAAGATGTTGCGTTGCATCTTGCGCTTAGCGAGTGATTCGGAGATGTCTTTGAACAAGACCGCTCGATCAGGCGACATGACTGTGTGAGGTTTCGGTGGCGGCGGCGGAACACCTAATTCAGTCCACCAATCTGACGATACCGATGAACTTGGTGACTGGGGTTCTTCGTCCATGGAAGGCGTGTGTGGCGGTGTGACTGGCGGCGTCGTGGACATTTTGCCGGCGTGGTCTTGATTTGAGCGCGGGGAAGGAGGGTGGCTGTTGTCGGCGTGCTCTTGCTCCGGTGACTGCACAGGGTCAGGCGCATTGTCCTGAGATTGTGAAGGCATAGTTTCATCGCTGTGTGGCGGCGAGGATACAAGACCTTGCGTCTCGGTCAGTGGTGTGACGCCGACCGCAGGTGAACCTATGCTTGAATGAGAGTTAGCATCGCCGTCAGATGCAGTCACGACATTCGAACAAATAGGTTCCGGCTCGGTTGGCGATGAGGTTCTGATGGTATCTCCCTGCACTGTGGATGATGAGTCTGTCAGTGTGTCCGCCTCGTCCGATGCGGTAGGCGCGGCCTGCGCGACAACCTGGGCAGGCGCGCGCTCCTCGGACATTTCGTCAGACATTGCAACGGCGCCGCAGTATTGTTTCCTGAGCGGAGTGCTACGACTTGGCGATGGGGAGTGTGTGCGCTTGAAATTGGTGGGGATTCGCGTATTGTGGGCGTTTGCGAAGGCCTGCGAATTGACAAACACTGCTGGCTCAGGCGCTAAAGCGGTGGCGGATGCGCTTGATGACGAGTTTGCTGCAGTCGAATCCAAAGGCGAGTGTAAGTCTGTGTCAGTCGCGTGCGGATTGCGAGTTGTGGGCTGACCAAAAGGCGTATTTGCTGGGGTGGTGTCGTGGTCGAGCGTCGCAGTAGAAGAACTCGAAGAACGGCGCGAGCGGCGCTGCGTCAGAAGGCCACAACAAAATAGGTCCATGAAAAGTGAATGCGGGTCGGTGCGCTCTTAAACACTGTTTGCTCCAGCGCAAAGAGCGTGATTGTTTCACAGCACGGATTCAGGGATGCCAGGGCATTCAGATAAGGCGAAGTCAGCGGTGAACAGAAGAAGGGGTCCTGAACTCAAATGAATACCATGCGATTCAGACATTTCGGTGTGTACGGCACATTCGTTCCATGGTTGTCTGGGTTCAGGTGTGGGTCATCCAAAGAATATGGGGGAACCGCCCACATATATCTTGCAATCAACTACAAGGCCTTTGTGAATGGTCAGTATTACCGACAAGCGACGGCTCGTCCAGTTAACAGCCAACAATGAACAATGCTGCGAGAGTCCGATTCGTAGCCAGCAGCAGACCTCCTTCATTATACTCGTGGGATTCATCCAAAAGGACTCTAGGTCGCAGAAGCCTGGCCAAGTCAGACACACCGAAGCAGTGAAAGTGTGGGCATTGTGTATCGTTCCTAAAGTCCGGTCTGCGATGGTGAAGCCGTAACCTTGAGCATTGTGTCAGCCTTCATTTCATAGATGCTCAAAAGGGGTCCGTAACTAATATATATATTCACAGAGGAAAAGGCGATTTTGATATATGTACACGAAGTTTCAACACCCACGTTTCGAAGAGAAAGAAGAAGGAGCAAGGAAAAACACGATCTGGTGTTGGTATATGGAACTAACGAAAACGGCAAACAAAAAAAAAGACAAAGAGATCATAAGATGCTGACGGTGAATCGATCCTGCGCCCACACGCTTGTCCCCTTACGTGCAAGAAACGCTGATAACAAAATGCTCCGTAGTTAGCCCCTTTTGATGGCAAAATATGCAAAGTCGTGAGAACGCTCTTTCTCTCACAATGCTTGGTAGAAACTCCTTCGTGGTACATCGCACAGACTTCTTAGCCTTGCAAGGCTGAATAAAGCAGATACTCCCTTCTAACATGTCTCCGTGCGCGTCTGTCCCTATATCCCTGTACTGACTCGGTGTTCTACGGCGCGCCTCTGTTGGTGTGCCCATGGCGAATCCGGTCTCAGGTATGAGAGTCGCGGGGTCATTGCGCGTGGACCAAAGAGGAGACTGGGCATACTATGAGGGTAACGTCAAACGTTAACGCAAGCTCAAAGAAATGCGAGAGCTTTGCTTTGCTCACTCTCCGATACTTGTTCCCCTTAGTCGTCTCCCCAGACTCACGCTACGCCCAATGTCCGAAACACCACCGACTGAGTGTCTGTTGTTTGGGTTTCGAGCGACGCTCAATTGCGCTCTTGGTCGTAGACCTCCCGTCAGGGTCTTCTCGTAGTTGGCCGGCGAGCCTTCACGGCCTAGATTATGACCGTAGCGGCTTTGGTTATCCCGGAACAACAGACTATGCTCGTTGGAGGGCGTACTACTTGAAACACTAGGGCGGCGGAGACTGGCGGTGGTTTGAAGAGCGGGTGATGGCTGTAGATCAGGCATTGGTTCGCGGGAAGTGTATTGTCTGCCACCGGTGAACCGTTTTTGGTCTGACTGACCACCGTGGCGGGCTCTAAAGTCGATTGAGGTCATCGCACGGGAAGGCGCACGGAAGATTGGATCTTCGTCTTCTTCGTCCACGCTGTTGCGCGTCTGGTGGAGACTGGTGCCTGCTCGTTGCATGCGTGACGGAGTGTGTCTATCGTCGTAAGGTTCCTGGCTGCCTCCTCTTTGGCTGCGGCCGGAGTCATCGATAAGCATGCTGGTTCTCCGAGCCTCGATGCGTGACATGGCTCTACTGGGACTGACGCCTGATAATGTGTTGCTTTCGGGCTCGATGCTCTGTCGGATCGTTGGTGAATCGCCATTGATCTGTACACTCGGCCGACGCGATAGTGTGGCTGTGTTGGATCGGAAGGCTGGACTGGCAAGACCCGTCTTGGTGTCACACAGAGCAATGCAGAGCTCGGTGAGACTGCGACAGAGGTTGTCGGCTTTGCGACGAACCTGGCGGTCTGAGACGACAGAGCCGTTGATGATGGAGCTTGCAGAATGGAGTGTGCCCTGCGGCCCTGCACTGCCGCTCATCTCTGCCAGCGCAAGTGCTTCGGTTGCAGTCGCCTCCAGGTTGCGGTAGACGGTTGGGGAGACGTACTGTCTAGCTTTACCGAGAGCTTCGCGCAACAGAGGGTGAGTTTTGTTGTTGTTGGGGGTATGAGTGCCAACTGTCGACTCGGCAGGCGACGGATTCGACTTTCGCTGCTGATTCGGCGAAGAAGAGACTGTCGTCGCTGAGGTGTTGGCCGTCCGCGGGCGCTCAGCCGATGCTTGGTTTACAATGGCACCCGATGTCGAGGGTATCTTGCCGCCCATCTCGATCTTCCGTATCCTGGACTTGAGCTCGTCCAGCTCGTCCCATACAGACGCGGCCGGGCCTGTAGAGCCATGTGACTCGGTACCGTCGGCGCGCGAACCAGCCTCAAACGATGTCTCCACCTGCGGCGTGCGCGGCTCGTGTGACAGGTTCGACGGCCTGTAGGGGTGGACCGGAGTGCGACTGGGCGGGGTTTGATGTACCTCAGGCTGAGATCCTCGTCTTGTTGAGTTTGAGAACTGGGCTAGGAAGTCGCGCGGTGAGAGCTCCGAGTCGCGTCGTGTAGAGCTGAAGGAGGCTTTGTGGTTGAGGTCGCGGGTCCGTATGGCTTCGGGTGCAGGTGAGTTTGGCGACCGCTCGTATCTGGAGGGGGTGGGCAGGAGCGACGACCGGCGTATGCCGCTGGACCTGGCTTCGAGGGCAGCGCTGGAGGGTATCCTGCTGGTGGTTGGTGTGACTAAGCTCGACTGGACCTGGACGGGCGAGGGCGACTGCAGGGCCGAGGGGAGCGACTGCCGGTTGTTGACGCGGGCGACTCGTGACTGGGTCGTTAGCTACCATCCATGCGCATACCGTAGCTCCATTGCTCACCTTCAATCGGTCGCGCGCTGTCGGGTTCTCTGGGCGCGGCGGCTTGGGCGCACTGTCGGCGGCGATGTTCAGGAACAGGTCCTCCTTCTCGCCGTCTGTTCCTGGCGTCGCGGGCGCAGGCGCTCCCCGTCCGCTATGCGCCGCGTGGTAGTCCTCCATGCGGCTGCGGGGGCCAGAGTCGTACTCGGACGACTCGTCGGTGGAGCTCGCCATTCGTCGCGGCGGGGGCCTCGCACTGCTGGTCGAGGCTCGTCGGGGGTGGGGTCGGGGGCGGGTGGCCGGGTCTACAGCGCTTGTTTGTTGTGGTGGTCGCGGGGCTTCGCTGGCGGAGGTGCCTGGGTGGGAGCTAGTGGGGGATACCAGGCCGGACTGGAGGAACTGCTGCTGCGCATAGGCAAAGTCGGCGGGGTTCTGCGAGCTGCGGCTGCGAGTAACGAGGGTGACGGGAGGGCCGCGCGAGTTGTCTATGCCATGGCCGCTGTGCGAGGCTGGGGGACGGCGGGCGGACGAGGCGCTGACAGACGGCAGGCGCAACAGCGTGGGCGGCTCCGGGGCCGTGTTGGTGCGGGCGTGGGTGGGCTTGCTCGGGGGCGTGCTCTGCGACAAAGAGTTGCGCCGCTGGGTGGTGTGGTGTTGTGGTGCTCCTCCAGACGATTTCCGAGAATGGGTCGGCATAGCTGCAGGCCTGCGCTGGCACACCAGACAGGGATGGCGGACAACGTTTCAGAATACTCAGCCCGTCATGGCTGCTTTTGCGACCCACAGTCCGCGCGCGAGCCGTTGAATATTGCCAATTCACTCTTCAAAGTTCAGAGGTTGATGCTGCGACGCTGGGGATCCCTAGCATCTTGACCTTGGCCGTTTGCGTCTAGGGTCCCGGGCCACTCTGCACGAGATGTCACAGTCCTTTCTGGAACGAATGGCCGCCTTCGAAACCGTCTCTTAGCAACGGCATGATGTGCAGCGACTAGCCGTGCTCTGGCCTTAACCTATATCGCACCCTATATCGCACATCACTCGCTCGCCTCTCTCGACTACCAGCGTGTCAAAGACGCCTCTACCCGACTAACTTTCCCTGCAAGCTGACCTTTACCTGCGCGATTATTACCTCGCTGTTGTGCGTGTCTGGCCCAAAAAGCATGCTGGCTCTCATTTCGTCCGGTGAACGCACACCGCCGCTTGGCCGTTAGCAGGAACCGCTTCCAAGCTTCGCCAGGGCTCCCGTCGAGATAACAGATCACGATTGTGACTGCAAAAACATTGTGCTGACTGACTCTGTTCCTGCATTCGCCATCCTGGTCAACGGCAGGTTGTAAGCGAGTAGCAGCGACGGACGGGACTTTTACCCATGTCAGTCGCAGGTAAGATTCACCGGCGCCTTGAGTCGTGAAGATTAAGGCCAGACATCCTCTCTCCTGTAGCAGACACTGTAATCTCGCGCGCAATACAAGGTTCGTTGGCTCAGATTCTATATCGATAGTGAAAGCTACATAGTGACAGACGGAGTTGCGCGCTTCGCGTCATTGATTGGCTGTTGCATTGTAAAGGGCAACGTGTGTACATAGTAGACAGTGGACGTGCTGGGTTGGAGGGCCATGATCACGTGACCTCGGCGGTGGCTGAACCAGAACGCCGAGGGTCTGATGAAATCTTGCCCAGCAACATCATCACCACCACCAGTGCCAACCGCGATACCCAACCCTCATAGCATCGCGAACTGCCCTTGCGCCTACACGACCATGTCCGTCGCAGCTTTGTCCAAGTCGCTGCCAAAGCCGAAATACTCGGGCGAAGAGGAGGAGCTCACCAACAGCACGCGCGTGCTAACCGCAGAGCAATATGAAGCGCAAGTAGTCGCGAAAAAGGGTCCGCCGCCCTATGGCCAGAGGCAGCACTGGAGGCCTCGCGCGCCTGAAGGTAAGCAAAACACGTATGGAGGACACACGGGAGATGTACTGACATCACCTCTAGACTTTGGCGATGGAGGCGCATTTCCGGAAGTACTCGTCGCGCAGTACCCGCTCGACATGGGAAAGAAGGGCCAACCATCCACATCCAACGCGCTTGTGAGGAGAGTCGACGGCGAGGGCAAGACCAAGTACGACGAGATTGCGCGACGCGGACACGGCGATTCGAGGATTGTGCAGGCCAGCTTCAAGGACCTCATTCCTCTGCGCCAACAGGCAGACGCTGGCGAGCTGGACTTGTCGCGTCCTTCTGCGGAGGTTGTCCAAGCAACCAAGGAGAAGACTGAGCAGGCCCTCATGGCACTGGTTCAAGGGCAGACCGCTGCACAGCGGCCCAAGAATGTACAGGGCAGGAAGAACGACGAGCCGACCTTCGTCAGATATACACCCACGGCTCAGCATGGTCAAGCCCAGGGCCAGACGCGCATCATCAAGATCCAGCAAAGACAGATCGATCCCATGGAGCCGCCCAAGTTCAAGCACAAGCGCATTCCTCGCGGACCACCTTCGCCTCCCCCACCCGTCCTCCACTCGCCGCCGCGAAAGCTGACCGCCGAAGACCAAGAACTTTGGAAGATCCCACCCCCAATCAGTAACTGGAAGAACCCTAAGGGATACACAGTGCCACTAGACAAACGTCTAGCAGCCGATGGTCGGGGGCTGCAGGACATCACGATCAACGACAAGTTTGCTCAATTCGGTGAAGCGTTGCAGGCAGCAGACAGACATGCACGAGAGGAGGTTAAGCAGCGTGCGATCATGCAGCAAAGATTAGCGGAGAAGGAGAAGCTACAAAAGGAGGAGCACCTGCGAAACCTGGCGAAAGAGGCACGAGAACAGCGCGCCAACACATCCCGAAGGCGATCACAGAGCGAGTCGGACACTGATTCGGAAGAAGAGGCAGTGCGGAAGCGAATGGACGCTCGCAAGGAGAGGCGCGAGGACTTCCAACGCGAACTCCGTCAGTCGCGGATGGGTACCGAGCGCAAGATCCAGATGCTGGCTCGGGAGCAGAATCGTGATATTTCTGAAAAGGTCGCACTCGGTCTGGCAAAGCCGACACAGAGCGGAGAGTCCATGTACGACTCGCGGCTGTTCAACCAGTCCAGCGGATTCAACGCTGGTTTCAACGAGGACAACCACTACGACAAGCCTCTCTTCGCAGCTCAGGATGCTATCAGTAGCATCTATCGCCCGAGTGTACAGCAGGATGACGGAGAAGACGAGGGGCAGACCTACGACCGAATCACCAAGTCGAGCAAGTTCGAAGTCCTTGGAAAGGCCAAGGAGGGTTTCAAGGGTGCGGATCTGCAAGAGGCCCGAGACGGACCAGTTCAGTTTGAGAAGGATACTGACGATCCGTTCAATATCAACCAGATGATTGACGAGGTTCGTGGTGAAAAGGGCGAGAAGACGGGAGAGAAGCGTTACGGCATCCAGGAGCCGGAGGGCAGATCAGCCAAGCGCGCCAGGGTTGATGATGACAGTGATTGAACGTCTTTTAGCATTATCGAGACATATTTCAGGCGTTTGGGTCTTTTGCATAGCTCGAGTTGCTGGTGCAATACTGTAGCATTTTACTGCGATCAAAACGGTCATCATTGATCTGGCTCAAATCTTCTTAATACAAAACTCACCACATATTGTTGGGCGTCCATGGTCACAAAAGCCTGCGCGATTGTGTTACCACACCTACAGACAGTCGTCGTATATGCTTACTACCCGTCACTCTTCCATTGGCCAAGTCCCAAGGATCCCAGTCTCGGAAGGCGCACCTTCGTCGGAAAGCCGCACCGACAACAGCTTCCGTCTGCGTCTACCATCGACGCCATACACACCTTCGCTCCACAGCCCCGCCGTGCTATGTCGTACGAAAGTACAAGCCAACGGCGAACCCTGAAGTTATGCGCCTTGCGCTGGTGTGCTTGACTGGCCGACATGCTGCCGGCTGTCGGATCTCGATCGTACTGCTAATCGTTCGCTGTTTGCTAACATCCGAACCGTTTTTACTGCGCAGTACTTCAGGTCTGATCGCAATCGCATAGAGGGAAAGTTAATACTGTCCTTTGATGAACTCAAGTGCAGCTTCAGAAACTCTTTATCAGAAACGTCATCATGCCGGAAAAAGCACAAGCTTCGCAAGCTCAACACCCTTCCGCGGTATCGGATAGCCAGGATCACAAGTTCAATCCGAATTTCACTCAGGCGGTAATCAATGCGACGGGACCAAAAGCTACGCCCAGGGTCAGACAGCTCACAGCGGGATTAATACGGCATCTCCATGACTTTGCGAGGGAGAATGAACTCACAGTCGATGAGTGGATGACAGGAGTTGAGTTGGTACGTCAGAGAGCTTTCCATGTTTGATATTGTGAGATATGACTCAGCATACTAAACGATGGGCAGATGAATGCAGCAGGTCGCATGTCAGACGCCAAACGGAACGAAGGCCAACTGCTCTGCGACATTCTCGGCCTCGAATCGCTCGTCGACGAGATCACGTACAAGCTCGCCTCTACTGCCGCCGACGAACCCACAGCGACTGCGATTCTAGGCCCCTTCTACCGCCATGATGCTCCGAAACTGCCCATGGGCTCCTGCATCGTGTCCAAGGAAATAAATGAGCAAGGCGACCGGACATTGATGCACGGCATCGTCACGGACTTTAGAACCGGACAGCCTATCGAGGGCGCGGTGGTGGACGTATGGCATACGGCGCCAAATGGCCTATACGAACAACAAGATCCAGACCAGCCAGAGATGAATCTCAGAGGTAGATTCACGACGGGCAAAGACGGGAAGTATAGCTTCTACTGCCTGAGGCCAGTACCTTACCCCATACCTTTCGATGGGCCAGCAGGCAAAGTGTTGCAAGCGCTGGATAGGCATCCGATGCGGCCGGCGCATATACACTTCCTGGTATGTGAAGCCTATGACGAACGTGCAGCCTGATGTGCTAACTTATCTCAGCTCACAGCGCCGGGCTACAAACCTATTGTTACTCAGATCTTCGACCGAACAAGCAAGTACATTGACGACGATGCCGTTTTTGCGGTCAAGGATTCTCTTCTTGTAGATTTCAATCCTTTTGAGGGAGATCCGAAAGCAGACTTTGAGCTGCCGTACGATTTCAAGATGGCGAGCTTCGAGGATGCAAAGAAGCACTCCGTTGCAGGGACGACAGAAGAAAGCGCGTGATCGGTAGAGGTTCAAGCTATCAAAGAACTTCAGCATCGTTTACAAGGTGTTTTCCGTTTGAAGCTCTAGTTGTCATGTTCTAATCGCAGCTGTCTGTTTCCGATATCATTCCGATGTTAGGCCGATCTCCCCGCACTGTACTACTCCGCTAACCGTCTCCAACCGAACCGCGGCTGTCATACAACGCCTTACGCGCGCCCTAGACAGAGGCTAACATCATGTGAATGTTATGGTGTTTAGCGTCCATGTTCCGTGTTGTTCCTGCTCTTCTTCTAAACCTTGCTTACGTATCTGCCTCATTCGGACATTCGGAATCCTCGGCACAGCACACGGTAAGCTTGTCGCGACTATATCTTAGCAAGGGTTACAACACATACGAACAACACAACTAACAGACGTGGAAAGCAGAGGTGTTAACTAATCACTTGAGACATACAATACTCGAAAGGAGGAAGAGCTAGAGGACAGCCCATCATGGCAGATAACAGCAAGATAACCCTCGGCCGCTACATGTGGGAGCGTATCCACCAAATTGGTGTCGACACAATCTTCGGTGTACCCGGCGACTTCAACCTACAATTCCTGGACTCCATCTACCTTACCCCAGGATTGACCTTTGTCACCAACCAAAACGAACTGAACGCTGCCTACGCCGCCGATGGATACGCCCGCATCAAGAACACGCCCGGATGTCTCGTGACCACGCATGGTGTGGGTGAACTTTCGGCTCTGAACGGCATCGCAGGTAGCATGAGTGAACATGTCAAGGTTGTTCATGTTGTTGGACAGACTACGCGGGCCATGCAGAAGAACAACATGATGATCCATCACAGTATTGGAAATAAGCCGAATCATCAAATGTACAACAAGGCTAGCGAGGGGCTCAGGTTCGCGGCTGCAGAACTCTGGTATGTTGCGGATGCGCCGAAAGAGATTGATAGGGTGTTACGGGAGTGTGTTATCAAGAGTGGGCCTGTTTATATCTTCTTACCGCTGGATCTGAGTGCCGAGATGGTGGATGCTGGGTTATTGGAAACTCCCATTGATCTTGCGCCGCATGTGGATGAGAAGGCGCGGAATGAAGCGGTCAAGGCTATCGTGGCTGCAGTCTCTGAGGCTAAACAGCCGACCGTACTGGTAGACGCTCTCGTCCATCGTTTCAACGCTGTCCAGGAAGCCGCGCAGCTAGTCCGCAAACTCAACGTTCCTTTCTTCTCAGCAACCATGGGCAAGGGCATTGTCGATGAGACAGAAGAGAATTTCGTTGGGGTATGGAACGGCGAAGTCAGTTCTCCAGGCGTCAAAGAAGTAGCGAAACAGGCAGATCTGGTGGTGACTCTGGGGTACATACCTGCTGATACGAACTCGGCTGGTTTCTCAAGACCGTTGGACGAGACTAACACCATCCACATCAACCCACACGACGTTGTTGTAAGTCCCTCGCATACCTCATCTGATGTCTATTACTGACATACTTCCTAGGTCAAAGGCAAATCCTACCCCAACACACCCATCAAAACCCTCCTCGAAGCTCTAACCGCCGCCCTACCATCAACCCCCCAACACAAAATCCCCAAACCGCAACTCCCACCACCCCGCACACCCCTCGACGCAAAATCAGTCCACCTAACGCAATCCCAACTCTGGCCCGCCATCCAATCCTTCATCCGCCCAGGCGACGCTCTCGTCAGCGAAACCGGAACCTCGAATTTCGGTCTATGTGACATTGAATTCCCAGCGGACATCAGACTCGTTACGCAGATCTACTATGGCAGTATTGGTTTTGCTACTGCTGCGACGTTGGGTGTGGATATTGCGCGGAGGGAGCTAGACAAGAAGGGAGAGGGACGGACTATTCTGATGACGGGAGATGGAAGTATGGCTTTGACGATCCAGGAGATTGGGACTATGATCAAGGCGAAGTGTAAGGCGATTGTTTTTGTGATTAATAATGAGGGGTATACGGTTGAGAGGTTGATTTGGGGGGCGAGGCAACGTAAGTGCTCTTCTCCTTCCTCCATTCTTTCTTTACACGCGAGCAACATCAAACTAACCACCATCGCCTACAGCATACAACGACATCGTCCCGCATAACTACTCGCACCTCCTGCCCCTCTACCGCCACCCAGACTCCTCATCTTCTTTCCACCGCGCAACCACCCTATCAGAACTCTCCGCCATCCTAGAGAAACCGCAGCTGCAAAACCCGCAGAACGTCCAGCTTGTGGAACTCGTGCTGGGTAAGATGGATACGAGTTGGAAGTTGGGGACTGCGCTGGCGTGGAGGAGCGAGGAGCACAAGGAGTATCTTACTAGAGAGGGGTTTGTGGATACGTATGGGGGGTGGGGGTTGGATGGGAAGGCTGGGGGGAGTGTGAAGTGGAGTTGAGGTATGCATGGGTTGAGGATCTGAGAATCTGAGAAGCTGAGAAGAAGGATGGCGGCGTGTGCTGTGTACGTAGATGATGTATCTGCTTGCATGCAATCTGATCATACAAATCGAATATCTCTAGATCAAACTCCTTGACTCTGTTAAGTCATCACCATCATCCAACTGTCTTTCCTGCTTCTTCCCATCCCTTCGTCTTTCCCTCGACCTCTCCCCAAATCTAAGCGAACACCCCCAATAAACAAAACCACACAACAATCAACTCATAGATCATAACAGGCTGCTTCTCCCATCCATACATCACAGCCGCGAATCCCAATCTCAGCGGGATGGTCGAAGCCATCATGCGACGATTACCCTGGAAGGTAAAGATGAGTTGGTACCAGCCTATTGCTACTGCGCCGAGACCTTTTTTCCTCTCGTTAGTCTGGGGTTGGAGTCACTGGGGATGCAATTTGACGTACCGATCGATTGTAGCGTTTTATCAGGACCTTCCATACCCGTAATAGCAGAGTACTCTTCTGGGTTGATGAACGGGTAGATGCCGAGGGCTATGTTGACGATGGAGTGGAGGATGAGGAGGAGGCGCGCCATGCGCGATATGGGTGACATTTTGGCGGGTATTAACGTAGTCAATGGTATTGAAGATGGTAAACGAGATGTTTAGTTGGATGTTTGAGATGTTGCAGTGAGAAATGTAGCTTTCCAAGGCATGTGCACCAACCCCGCTAAGGCAAGGCGTGCCGTTTTAGCGCCCACGTGTTCGGGCGCGGATGTCTCATGGCTTGCGAAGTCTTGGATTTTGATCCACTTCTATCATCATTTACGGTTCGCTGTCCACAGACAGGATTGGTGTCTACGGCCGTGCGCGCATGAAAATAGACAATGCAGGTACGACTGACGTGCAGCCAATATGCGCCTAAACACCACATCCAGGGTTGCCGAAACTACCACCCGCAGCCCACCCATCCAGATCGTAAAACCACTCCGGACTCCTTCCAAAGTGGAAGCCGTCCCCTGGATCCATGGGTAACCCCTGCATGTACGCATCCATATCGATGTCTAACCCCATGTTCACATCTCCCAGATCGCTGTCCAGCATACTCAGTCCGTCCATCGTACCGTCGAAAGAAGAGAAATCTATGCCGTCGCTGCAGCCGCTCTGGGGGCCGGTGCCAGTAGGTAAATACTTCCCGGTAACATCATCAGCGCCCTCGCCTCGACCATGCTCTCTTCCTGCGAAGCTGCCGCTGGAAGGACTGAGATCGATGTCTTCGCCGTGCTCTTCGCGGTATACTGCTGCTAGTATCTTACTCATTTCCTTGGTGGATGTTTTCGCCGCTTCAAGTACAGCTGCTTCAGGATCGGTGCCGGCTATTAAAGCATCGATGCGTGCCAGCGCGCAGTTGATGAAGACAACGCCCTTTGCATTCGTTTCGCCATTTTGGACGCGGGCTACTGCTGTGTGTCGGGATGATTCCAGGACTTGGCGTAGGGCGTGGTACTGTGATGGTAAGGATGTCAACCCTATAGAAGGAGATGCTGTGGTTGGGCGTGTAGATACAAGAGGAGCGAATAGCGCCAATTCTTCTTGTCTTTCGTTAATCTGAGAGTTGAGTTCGTAGTAAACGGTTGACATGGCGTAGAGAAAGAACGACTTGAAGAATCCCACGCATCGGTGCGTCATGCGCGTCCAATCGTCTTCTTCTCCTGATGCCAGCTCAGTTGCCGGTGCGTAGATTGCTAGTGATGTATCGAGGCATATCTTCCTGGAGTAATGGTAGCGTGGGTTCTCGTTTGCTTTGGAAAAGTAAGGCCGGTGGAGGCAGAGGACGAAGCGTCGAACTAGGGTATCAGACATCTTGATCTGGAATGGCGTGATGTTGTGTCCTGCTGCTAATGCTGATTTGAAGAAGATCGTTTTCTCGCGACAGACGCTGATGAGCTTGGAGCCGATACGCAGGACATCGTCGTATGATAGGTCGAAGCGCAGGTTGTTGATTACTCTGATAATCTCTAGCCGTGTGGGAAGCGTCTGTGTAAAAGCGATTTGTATGCTACTCTCGGTAAATACGGTTGCTGGCTTCACATCGAGTGGTGTATCTATTCCGTTTCCCATGTCCTCGTCGTTGATATTGGACGGTGGCTTCGTATCATAGTCATTCACGGAGATCATAGGCGGCATGCCCATATCCAAGCTGCTTTGCGCCGTGATTTCCAGAACGGTAGCCCAGAGTCTGCGTCGCATCTCGCCATGGTAGACACTGATTTTGGGGAAGTGAGACGGGTCGCGATGTAAGCCCAGATGCATCGCCGTCCGCAACATCGTACCTGCAGGTATCCATATATGATCACCATCGATGCCACATACTTGACGTGCAATCAGGATCAATATCTGTATCTGCAATCCTATCATGTTGAGCCGCGACTTTGCATGAGGTGCACACTGCCATTCCGCTGCAGCTTGGATCCATTTCGCAGCTGAGACGCGAAGTTTGGCTTGGTCGGGTCCGGTGTAGAACGGCACGGCAATTGCGCATACCAGCAGGAACTTGTGAATGATAGACGGCTTTACAGGTGTGGTACCCAACCAATAGGCATCGTAGACTCTTTTAAAGGAAGGTACGTGTAGTACACGAAACACGCCTTCGAATGTACGGAGATAGCAGTCGACCAGTGCGTCGCTGATTTCTTTTGGAGGGATGCACGCCTGCAGTTCTGGAGAGATGGAAGGCTGCGACATGCGAGAGGCCTTGATGATGCGAGCCATTCGCTTGACCTCTGAGACAGTAGCATACAGCTCAGTCGATTTGTTCCTATATGCTACAATCAGGGCTACTGTATTTAGAGAAAGACTGGAAAAATGACATACACCTCTTTCCTGTTTGTATTGTGGTTCGTTGTAGTGTTTGTGTCGCCGAGAGCGTCATACTGCTATCCGTCAATTGAGTCCCTTCGAACAGAGGAACCGAGACAAGGGAACCATCGGTATCAAGCACTTACAGGATCGATAGCGTTCATCCAATGACTCTGACCATAGTACTTTGCCTTCACAAACTGGGCGCTTGTGTCACTTGCACTTTCCCGTCCCGGCGACGTACCAGTCCTTGGGTCATCGTTTAGAGTAGCGCTTGCCAGTCGTTCTTCCAGACCCTGAATCCTATCTAACAAGCTGTTGATGATAGAAGCTTGCGCAGAGTCCGAGTGCGAGTTCATGCTAAAAGCCGGTCTATCGGCGGGGAGAGGTTTCGGCTGGCCGTCGCATTCTCCAAGAAGCCCAGGTGCCACATAACGATTGACGATTGCATCAAACTCGCTGGAATGACCGGGTGCCTGAGGAGAAGACCGAGCCGGATTCTGGTCGTCGCCATTGCTGCGACCTGTAGAGGCATCATCCTCGGGTGATCTTTGGTTCTCCGGCCGAATCCCCGGACGTGGAGGTCTAAACGTGCATGTCGCTGATTTGATCCTAGTACACGCTCCACAAGGTTTTTCTCGGTCGCACTTCACCTTGCGCATGCGACATTCGACGCATGACAGTGCTGGTCTTCGTCGACGTTTCCCTGGCCCGTTGCCATCTGTATCCGCGGATTGGATGGTAGGTTGCTCAACCATTCTGGCTCACAAATACAAGAGAATTGGTCGCAGTTATCTTGACTGCGTAGTAAGAGTCGTATACAGCATTCAAAGATTCTAACATGGTTGCTGGTAGATGGACAGGCCACCGTCAGTGTTCTGTGGAGCGGCTCGGGGCTCTCGGTGCTTTCGGTCATCTCGCTACTGAATCCGCGACAGGGGCGTTGGCCAGCCGCTGCCTGCTCCTTCTGTCTCTCGTCGCAACAACACCATCCATAGGGCGAAGGATTCCAGCTCGCATTAGCCTGGGACTGGTGTGCTTACACAGTCGCGTGTACTGACAGAGCGACAGAGTGTATGACTGTGCCTCGCGATATACCTCCGTTTTAGGTAGCGTCCCAGCCTCCGCCGGCTGAGTCCCATTGACATTAACCACAAACGGTGCCCGCACAGCCTGACGCGATCATCAATACCCAACCCCGAAATGCGACTAACTAAACCTCGAACCGCATCAGGTTTTTATTGGGGAGCGCTATTGACTAAATAGCGAATTTGCGTTGTCCGCAACAAGAGTTCTGGCAATAGTCTGTATTCAAGTACGTCTACTCATATCATACAGACACAAAGCGTCTTGAAATACACCAACAAGCGACCTAGGTATACTTGCCTGACGATGATCATACGTGGCCCCCTAATCATCCACTTCACGATACGCTATGACATACAAAAGTCTGCGCAATCCTTATACACTTTCCGCGTCAACACAGCTATAAGACGAGGCATTAGCTGCAGCACCACCCTGATAAACAGATACAAACGGGTAAAGGCAAAGATCCCTCGAAAGCACTGTTCCGTTGACAGGTTGCGTTCCAACTGCTGGTAGGGTGTCTGGAGCTGTACCATTTTCGACCCAGGCTACAAGTTGCTGCAGCGCATTATTGACGGGTGCAGGACCAGGGCCACCTGCGCAATGATGAAGGCCAGGCGCAAGGAACAACCTGTAGTACTCATTCACATCTGCATCCAGCGCAGCCACACGATCGTAGTACTGTGTCGACCCACCAGAAGGAATCAGGTCATCTGCGATGCCGTGCCAGGTGAGCAACTTTCCTCCTGCTTCCTTGAAGTCCGAGAGATCCGCATCGTTGGTGTTGATGATCGAGTCCCACTGCTGCTGACCGGCGTACATGTAGTCCGGTAGACGATCCGCGGTAATTGTGGAAATTTCAAAGGTAGCGTTCTTCTCGACGAAAAGCTGGAAGAACTGTGCGCCGAGTAACCAAGCAGCGGTGGTGAAGCAGGTACCTGAGGCTTGACAGTCCGTGCCGGTCGTTGCCTGGAGGGGTGCATCTAGCGAGTATCCTGGGTAGATCTTCTTTCCCCGTCTGTCGGAGACACCATACCATGAAGCGTTGGCAACGATCGCTGTTGCCTCAGAGATGGAATTCGAGCTGTTATTGCCGCAGTTGGCGGGCTGACCGACGACGGTGAATGGGTCAAAAGAACACAACTCTGGGATGGATATGATCGAGTCTTTGACGCCGTCCAGTTCATCGCAAGCGGCGATTGCGGCGGCCCCTATCGCTTCAAACTCGCAATTGGGCGGGTATTCGCCGAGCGTGTTCATTACAGCTTGAGCATGGAACAAACTGGCCAAGAGTGGGATGATGTTCAGTGCGGGTGCTGCAGCGATAATACCGTCAAACGCTTCAGGGTAACGTTGAGCCAGCATCATGCCTTGTCTACCACCCTGGGAACACCCAGTCCAGCTATGTCGAATGTTAGCCACTGTTCGTCCCAGACATATGATGAAGCGTTGACTGAGTAAGATCGCAACCTCAGGGTCATACATACTAAGAGTAAGCGGGAGCCTTCTGATAGAAGCTCTCGGTAACCATCTTCCCGAATATGGAGAGCTCATTCAAAGTAACAGAACCGAAGTTCTGCAAAGCAACCACATCGACATTGCCCGGAGACTTGAGCGCCCAAGGAAGAGCGGAGACTTCGGTTGCGTTGTGGCCACCGTCAGTGGAAGCTGCCGCATATCCCTGAATAATGGCCGGCAGCAAGCTCTGATCGAAAACACCAGCGCGCCAGCCGCCGCCTCCCACACCATTGAAGCGTCCGTTCCACTGCTCCGGCAGCCATATCTGGAGGTTGACTGTGTCGTTCTGACCTGGATGGGTGTAGGCCATCTCTACGCGACAGTAGGAGATATTGTACGATGAGACTCCAAGAAGCGGCACGAGTTGTTCGGCTGGGATAGGCGAGCCTTCTGGTGTCCATTGTGTCTTGGGCTCTGCAGTGAACTTCGTGATTGCCGTGCCATTGAGGTAGGGTTGTGCAAGGCTTGAACAAGCCAATCCGTGCGCTGTTCGGGCTGTTAGAAACAGATATCTTGTCGATTGGATCGGACTCAACATACCTAAAGCCGAATACATCTTGTTCAAGAAAAGACACGGTTCGTGCGAGATAGGGATTTGATATTGAAAAAGGTGGTGACTCGCTCAAGGTGTACAGCAGAATGGTGCCTGCAACAACATTACTTATATGCGACATGTTTCGTTAGCTGCGATGGCAGGCGGTTCGTCAACGCCCTGCCAATTCCACTACGATGGCAATGGCGGCATAGCCGACCTCGCGAGATGGTGGTCCATCAGGGCAAACGAAAACGAATAAAGCGCGATGCGATCGCTAGTAAACCTGCCTTGTCCTTCTGGAGCAGAACTACTTCGGCAAGGCGGATGTTAACCTTCCGGTGCAGGTCCGGTAAACGAGAACGAGTACCTCTTTGATCGGCATCTTTAGCGTCAACCTACTAGATTAGGCTTCCTTTTGGCACCAGGCACCAACAAGTCTCGCCCCCGCATCACGTCCAAGCCATGTCGTTCTCGTTTACAAAAAAACTCCAGGCGCATGACAACCTTCCACATCTAAAGCGAAACGAATATGCGAGTGCCGAGATTGAGCGCGAATGGCAGTGAAACGATACCATAGGAAGTCACGGGCTGGATGCGACACGTGCAAGCGACGGCGCGTCAAATGCGACGAAGCCACACCCAAATGCGGAGCTTGTGCTCTACGAGAAGAACAATGCACCTACCCAACACAGAATGTTTCGACTGGGTCTAGAAGGAAAGCGAAGACGGCGTTGACAACGGCATCATCATCGTCATCATCGTCATCACCACGATCACCTATACCAACCAAACCCGGCTGGTATTCCCTTTACGATGCCCACAGCGGCCCATCCTCCCACCTAGCCACCTACAACGCGACCCGAACGCTCGAAATGCGGCTCATGCACCAATGGACCACAACCACCTACCTCACCTCCGTGCACCGCAACGCGCTCGTCTTCCGCGACTACGCCGTAACCAAAGCGCTCCAACACACCTACCTACTAGACATACTCCTCGCTTTCACCTCCCTACACAGCGCCAGTCTCGCCTCCTCCCCCACCGCTTCCCACGACCACGTCGCCGCCGCGCTGCACTACCAGAACAGAAGTATATCCGAGCTTAATGAGCAGGTGTCGCTTGCTTGTATTTCGAAAGAGAGTCTCGATCCGGTTTGCCTCATGACTGCTCTTCATGCTGTTGTTGCGCTTATCGCGAGTCTGATTCCGGCCACGCCGGGTGAGACGTTGGAGTCTGTGTCGAAGGTACTAATGCGTGTGCGGAGGTATACGATGGGTATGAAGGAGATTGTGGAGGAGCATAGTGTGTGGGCTAATAGCGGGGAGTTGAAGCAGATACTTGGCAGTCCTGTTGTTGAGTTGGTAGGAGAAGAGGGTAGGGCGTTCACGGCGGAGAAGCTACGCGCGTTGACGGATGCGATACTTGCGAATATGGATCTTGATGATGCTGCGACACCATTTTTTCGTGGTACCCTGGAGAAACTGGAGAAGGCGTACATGGACAGTGATGGGCATTCGGTTGTTCCTTGGCTGGGTACCGTGGAGCCTGAATTCTTTGAAAAGGCGGATATGGGGCAGGTGCCGGCGCTGGTGATATTAGCCTGTTGGGGAGCGATTAATTGTATTTTGGAGGATATGTGGTGGATGCAGTACTCTGGGAGGAGGATTGTGGAGGAGTTGGCTTGCCAGCTCGAGGGCTGTGATAGCCGGTGGAACGAAATTCTGGATTGGTGTTACCAACAGGTTGGGTTAATGGCAGAGATCAGTGATCGTGTTCGAGAGATCGGTGGAGGTGGGCCTGGATCGGGTTATGTCGTTCTCTTTGGAGAGCATGCATGAATGGCATCGTAAGCGAAACAGTCCAAGTCGTGTTCATTAGCTCGTTCTCGTTTACGCAAGGCGCTGGGATTTGATTGCGGTGACGAGACGTGGAGGGATTGGCGTGAGCCTGCAAGACTAGTGTGTAAACCCATGTGGTACCTACGAAGGTACTGGGGAGATTCAGGTAACTAGCTCTACGTTAGCATCTAAGCCCGGTTGCAGCACCATCTCTTCCACTTCCTCTACACCAACACCTCGCTAAATGCCACGACAACTACTCATACATCGCACACCCACTGACGCCATCTACATATCCTTTGTCAAATCGTAAATCTTCTGAATCTCCTTAAGCTCGCCCTCGTGGTCGAACTTGAGATCCTTCAACAATCCGTCTCCGAACCCAAAGACCCAGCCGTGCACGACAGGGAACTCGTTCTCAGCCCAACACTGCTGCACAGCCGCCGTCTTGACCACGTTCCGGCACTGCTCGTACACGTTGAGCTCTACAAGCTTGTCGTACTTCTCCTCCTCTGTGCCGCCGTTGGCCATAACATCGTCGAGCTCCTTCTGATGCAATCTGTAGACATCGCGGATGTTTCGGAGCCAAGGGTTCAGCAGACCCATGTCCTTTGGTGTCATGGCGGCCTTGACACCACCGCAGCCGTAGTGGCCGCACACGACAATGTGCTTAACTTTGAGGTGGCGGACCGCGTAGTTTACGACGGACATGACGTTGAGGTCGATGTTGTTGACGAGGTTGGCAATGTTGCGGTGGATGAACATCTCGCCGGGCTCGAGACCGGTGATGGCTTCGGCGGGGATGCGCGAGTCGGAGCAGCCTGTGGAGATTGGGTTAGCAAGTTCTAGGTGGTGGGTGATATAATGGAGTAATGTTATAGGGCAATTGAGTCATTCCAGATGCAACTCACCAATCCATAGATACTCGGGTGCTTGTCCTGCACTCAGATCCTTGAAGAAGCCTGGGTTCTTGTTCCGCATCTCATCGGCCCATTTCTTGTTGTTTTCAAAGATGCGGTCATGGCTCTGCTGCAGGTACTTGCGCACCTCCTTTGGCTCTTCCTTTCCAGTCATTCTGGGCCACGAGAAGTTGCGTTTGGCGGTAGTACTCTGTGGGCTGGATGCTTGCAAGAGGGATGCTGTCCGTCCGGTATGACAAGTACGCAGGGAAGTCTGATGGAGTAGAGAAGATATCGGAGAAGAAGTATGCAGTAGCGGTGTTGAGCTTGATAAGAGACGAGAGGCGGGAGCGAAGGACTGCCCCGCTGCAACTAGCTCTCGGAGAGCGTGGGGTAACCGGTGCGGCATGACAGGACAAGAAAAAACGACGCGCAAAGGCAAAACGCCAATCCCAGTGCTGCGGGCAGTTTCGGTTTTAGAAGGGAGGGGACGCGACGCTGGAATGCTCGAGTTATTTTGCTTCTGCTGCGCGCCGATTGGGCGCTCTGACGTCAAAGGATTGGCTAAGGATCTTTGGACCCCTGTTGTCGATCAGCGGGCGATGGGTCTAGCAACCAGATCTGGGTGAAACCATCGAGACGGTGCAGCCTCACAATATCGCTGCGAAACAACCCAAGCATTATCGGCACATCGAATCCGCTAGCTGGTACACAGTATTCGCCAGCTGCACAAACAATATGGCTCTTGACGACGCCAAGAGAACCATCCTATCGCGCCATGCCCACCGTCTATTGAGCACAAGGGCTTGGCCGAAGACGATCTGTCCTTCCGAAATTGCCCGCGCACTTTCAACAGAGGAGCTGTGTGCATTGGACGCGTCAGAGTGGAGAGATACCATGGATGATGTACGACAGATGGTGTGGGAGAAGAGAGAGGCTGGGGAAGTCGAAGTAATGCAGAAGGGCGCAGTAGTGGACGTGGAGAGTTTGGCGGATCTCAGAGGGCCGATAAGAGTGAGAAATGTGAATGGATGATATAACATCGTATGGCTGGTTACTCTTGCTGACGATAGCATGTATGGTTGCGATACAATACGAAAACTGATTAGTAGTCCCAATTGACCCGACGTGCTGACCTTGGAGAGCCGCACCCAACGAACTCTGACAAACTCCAATATATGCATGCATCCAAAACTTCTTAAGTTCTCAAACTTAGGTATCGGGATGCTTGGCGCCACTCGCATCGAGTCCCTGCCACTTCTCTTCGTCCCATCCCATGCTGGGATCTGTTGCGTTCCCGGCTTTGCCCTCTTCTGTCAGATTCTTGATATCGCTCCAATACTCGAGCTTCTTACACTCGTTATCCGCGGCTTCAATAGCCTTGAGCAGGTTGTTGATTCTGCGCTCCTCGGCGTCACCTTCCGGCTTGTGGTCCTTCTTGTGTTGCTCGCGGTGGTCTTTGGCGGCTTCGAAGCGGTCCATAAGTGTGGAGAGGAGTTGGCGGCGCGAATTCTGGAAGATGAGCATCGACATGATGGACGGTATCTGAACTCATTAGCTGTGTTTGCATGGGGATACACCATGCATACCTGTTCTGGGAGGTAGTGCAGCTCCTCCCCTCCATCGTCGATGAACTTGTGTATGTAGATGATCTTCTCGCGGTCAATGGCAGCTGCCTTGAGTTTTCTCATCAACGTCGCGATATCCCTAATCTCCTCGTCTAGACTCGTCTGTGCGCTGTCGTCCAATAGACCGCTGCCAGTGCCAAAGGTGGCTGATCTAGCCAGAGTCGTGCCGATGCTGAATGTCTCGCCAAACATGCGCTCTTTCGCATTCTTCTTGGTCTTGGGTGGCAGCCTCTGCTTGACCCGCCTCCGTAGCCAGCGTCGCCGCCGAACGAAGCTGTGGAACCACGGGTGGTTGCCATGCCACGCTGAACCCTTGAAGAGCAGGCTGTATTGCCAACCCTCTTCATCGACATCCAGACTCATGTCGACATACCAGCTCTTCCAGTCCCACACCCAACTTGGGTCCGGAACTTGTGCATTTGTGATGTTGACTGCTGAGGGCTTGAACTTGGCATCCTGCCACGGCGCAGGGTCGATTCGCAGGTTCCATAGCGCTTTGGACGAGAAGAGGGGAATGCCGAAGACGAACCAACCGCGTTGGTTCTCGTAGAGGATATCGATGTGCGAGTCCGATGTGGTCGACCGCTGTTGGGGTTGTGTAGCCGAGGTCGGTGTGTTGTCGCCGTCGGTATGGTCGACGAGGTGTATTTGTTGGTCCGCCATGCTACAAGCGTGGTGGAGGTGTCAAGGAGAGTAAGAGGCAAACGCCGTTGCTATCGTGGATACATGAGGTCGCTGTGGTCAGGCAGGCGCGGCACGCTGCGCGGTAGTCGCTAAGGCAGTGGCTCGAGGCTGGATTGTTGTGGTGAACGGTTTAAGGGGCGCGCACAACAGACGGCACGTTGCGAAGGCACGATCGAGGTGCGACAACGATGCGATAAAGAGAAACACTATGATGACATTACAATTAACATGTAGAAGCGAAAGCAACGAGTGTAGGTAATGTGGATCCGGCTTGACGCGCTCGGTAGAGTCCTAGTTTGGTGATCTGGTTCGCACGGCACTGAAAAGCCCGTGCTGCAGCTGTCTGCCATTACGTCACACATGCGCTTGTTGGAAAGACGCCTTCCAAGGTTCCCCTCCCTCGCACAACTCTCATTCTACATCTCCAATTCGAATCTCACATACCTTGATCTTACTTCAAGTCCAATCAATACCACCTCACAAAAACCCCATTACATCAACATGTCTCGTCGTTTCGCTACATACGGTGGTCTTGCTGCTGTTGGTGGTGTTACCTACTACCTCTACAGCGCTGGAGGCGACCCGAAGCTTGCCGAGAGGAAGGCTGAACGTAAGTCCTGAATGTATTCAACTTCCATAGTATCTCGACTGACAGTTGTAGATGACGCTGCGACTGCCGCACGCAAGCTGAGAGGCGACTACCCTGGCCAGGACAAGGAAGCTAAGAAGGCCGGCCAGGAGGGTTACGAGGCAGTACGCGCCAGCGCACAGCAATACGTACGTCCAATGCGACTTGATATCACTCGTGACAGTATACTGACCACTGCTAGGCCGACCAAGCCAAGGCGGAAGCGAAGAGGGCGGAGCAGAAGTTCGATGCCTACAGCGCAGATGCGAAGAAGCAGTACGAGGAGGCCAAGGTCCGCGCTGAGCGTGAGATGCATGAGGCAGGCAAGCAGGTCAACGCGGCCGCCAACAAGTTCGATGCCGTCGTTGAGGAGAAGGCCGCGAAGACTCAATCATGGCTCGGTGGACTGTTTGGCGGAAAGTGAACTCTACGTCTAGAGGACTAATAATGTAATGATAATGCGACAAGAGAAGCTGGGACTTGTTATTGAAGATCTTGCATGAGCATTGGAGTATATAGGCGCAGGTCTTTTCATCCCAATATGATACAATACTCACAATTGCCCTCTGTTCGTTGCACGGACGCGAGAAGCTCTGGCGACGGTACGCGCCGCGATGGCTTTTGCTTTTGGATGATCCACTCCTTCGAGAATAAGACAATTTTTGCACGCGCTGCGTCATGAATAGAATGGAATCAATACTAAAGCCAAATGAGGGCTGAAAGTACGCCGGATGCGTGGGGCAACGACACGTTCAAGTTTCATTAAAGTGGGGCGGAAACGCGACGCGAACGCGCAGAAGCGTAAAGCGCGTCGAACGTGCCTTCCCTGTTTTGCAGCCCCCTCGGCCCATAAACACTCCTTTGGACCTCGACCTGCCTCCCACACGACACATCACTTATCGACATTGTTCCAGATATCTCATCGTCGTATCCATTCCGCTATTCTATCAACAATGTCGCCTATTGCTCCCGGCCAGCTCCCGGCCGAGCTTGTCAACCTCCTCGCGTTACACTCTTCCTTCCTGACCGCGCTGTCGCTGCACTACGCCCACAATGGCACTTCAACGCCTGCCGATCTTCGAGACCTGATTGCATCAACGACATTGGTCTGGCGGCAACGTAAAGTCACGTACGATGACATCCGACTGCTCATCGGCATCCTCGACCATGGCCCTTCCGGCAACGAGAACCCCTACTACCTGTCCGACTATGGCCGCGGCAAGGTCTGCATCGAGATCAAGGACAGCAGTCCGATGATGAACGGCATGACGCATATGAACGAAGAGGGATTGCAGGATATGTTCAAAGAAGGCCTAGATACGCTTTGGACGCAATGGTGCACGTCGCAGAAGATGATGAGCCGACCAATTGCCGTGCCCAAGCGTGGACGGGGACGCCCAAAGAAGGCCGATATCAAGCAAGCATGCATGGACACGTTTCTCGACGACACTTACATGTCCAAGTTCCTGAGCCAGCTTCCTCTTGCCGAAGTCACCACATGCGAGTCCCTCACTGCACTCGCGCCAGCACAAGAGAAGGGACGCAAGAGGTTGAGGGAGTTCAAGGAGAGTGTACAGCAAGGCCGTGCACAGAAGAAGACGAGACCCTCTGTTGGAAAGGAGAACGAAACGCCCATGGGCCAGAACCAACAAGCTCAGCCCGCCCAACCCAAGATCACCGAATTCGCTGCCGTCCGCAAGACCAACCTCCTCGATCGCATTCTCGCAAAGCAGGAAGCTGCAAAGGCTGGCCCCGCAGCACCGACACCTGCCGAACTCCAGCGAAAGGCAGCGTTACAACGCACTCCAGAAGTTATCGGCGTCCTCTCCCTACTGTGCGCGAACAGACCCGGATCGCGCGTTTCCTTCTCTACAACCACTCTTCTGCAGGCAATTCAAGGCTCTATCCGATCACCGATTTCGAAAGATGAGGCAATGAAGTGTGTTGAGGTCCTGGCCAGCGAAGTCGCTCCAGGATACGTGTCAGTCGTCAGCATGGGCAGTATTTCGAGTGTTGTCATCAACCAGATGATGAGGCCCACGGACATCAAGAGCAGGCTTATCGCGCTGGGCGCTTGAATACCTGTTGTTTTCATTCTGTTATCTTCGATTTTTTTGCAATCCAGTAAGCTCACTTAGAGCTACTTTTGGTTATTGTTCGTTTACCGCATCATTTTAGCGAGCGCATTCTGTTCTTTCACTGTACAGTATTTCAGTCCTCTAGCATATCCTAATC